GGCTTTCCTATTTTGTTTAAAAAAATAATTTTTTGTGAGAATTTTTTCCATTTTCTTTCAACTTATTATTTTTATTATTATATTTCTGTCCATCTTCCTTATATTTTCCTTTATACACTGCTCCCTATTTTTTAACTTTTTATTACATCGAAGTTGCGAAACCGTTCATACTCCATTTACCCTTATTCTTATAAATATTATTTTTCTCATATTCGTAATAGGTTTGGTTCCCAGGCTGATGAACAGATGTTCTGGCACCCTTACCATGGCTAATTCCATTGATGCATTAATCCAGCATCATATTCAAAAGGCAAGTTCACTTATCTTTCTGCCTTTTAATATATATACACACAAACACACACACACATATATATATAAAAACTATATATATATATATATTTGCTATTTTTCTTTTTCTAGTCAGGGGCCTCTCTTCCCGCAAGTTCTTTCAGCCCTGAGTCGCCTCAACGTTTTCTCTTAGGTACCACCGTATCCACTCAGCCAACGCCTCTTATTCTTCCCTCCACCTTAGCTTCGACACACAATATCTCTTCTGGACGTACCAAGTCCATCATCGAGTCAGGGCCGAGGAGTAGTATTCTCGGTCTTTCCAGTTCTAGCACTTTGGGTGAACAAATCAATCGGGTAGGACCCCCGTTTATTTTGATTATATTTAGGGCCTAATATTTGTTTATAGTTCGTAGTTTTGGAGTATTAAAAATCTTCTGAGAATCATTTCATTGTTTATTTAAGCGTACTTATTACTCATTAGTAATTGCAAGCATATCAAGTTTTTACTATATTGAATTGCTGTTCTTTTCATATACCATTAAGTACCCTGTGTTATTCTTGGAAGATTTTGCCTATTAGACCCATTACTTACTCCATACGAGATCTACACTAGGATAATATTGCACTCATTCATTCAGAGGTTGTCCGTTAAATGGAATTAAATCTTATTGCGCTATCTATTTATTTACCCGAACAAGCGTCACTAAATATTTAACTATCACAATTAATTGTGCCCTTTATTAATGATTTTAGGACTATAATTCCAAGGCATGCTGATCCGAAACTTAAATACACGCCTACCTACTGCCTAATCAGCACTGCTCTTATTTACTTACAATGAATCTATGTAGTTCCAATGACATCTTGAAAGATTTAATGCATTCCAAATGTTTTTAGTAACGAATAAGTAGGGCCTGGATGTTGCCTGCATTCCCTTGATTTTGGACACGCTATGTAAGTTTTTGTCATTTTCGCGAGAGTAGAGCTGGGACAAATCAAACCGTCGCTATCTAGGCACTTTGATGTCTTAACGTAGATGAGTTGTTCAAGGAATCCCGGCAAGAATCATATCTTCAAGAGATGCCTATCATAGTTTTAAATAAATCCGGCAAAATTCCTTTGATTTACTTGAAACTGTCTCCTAATCATTTTAGGGATGAAACGGACCGGTTAAACATTCGCAGTAGCATCCATAGCACGCAGAAACTATAACTTAAGCTAAATTCTTTTCTATGTGAGTAGAGTGTCTTTGCTGGACTTCCTCATATGCTCACAACTATTAAGTTGGCAGATTTCAAGCCGCTGAGGCTTACTTAAGTGGCTGTGAAAAAAGAGAATCAAATGACAAACAATTTCTTACAAACTCTCACCATAAACTAACTTTTTTGCATTCGATTATCTATGAAAGCTATATTGCATCACACCTTAGATGTTTGACATATCTTGTGATTAATGATAATCATCCTTATCCTAATAAGCCTTCTTTCATAGTTAAGATAGCTCTTTCTTCTCACTAAAATCCCAATACTCTTTCACGTCTTCTATCTGTCCAGACCATTTTGAACTGGCTGGTGCTAGATACTCTGCTGGCGGATTACTCATCTAGCAAAGCACGAGCGAAGCTCGCTTAGAATAAAAACATTGAAAGAGTTTATAGGATATCTTTCTAGCGTAAATAGCCATTAGCACAAAACATATAGTTTAATAAAGAAAAGCATGGTTGAATACGAATGAAGCTAGCAATATAATGCATGTTGGAGTACCTTTCATTTTATTTGAAGAGAG